CTTTATGACCACAAAACCGTTACTAGCGTGGTGTAACTAATAAAGTGGCCGGTGAGTGTATATTTATCAAAATACCAATACCTTAAAAAAACTGAAAATAACAAATTTTAAAATACATTATAACAAATTCTTTGTATAATTATTCACTATGCTCAACATAAAATGCATACGTTTACATGTCTGCATGTTTATTTATATAATTATATGCAGAACGTGTAAAGTGCTCAGAAGAGGAGCAGCAAAACAGTCAAATCATCATCTTTGTGAACTTAAGGTTACTCTCATTAACCCCTTCCTGTTTAAGTGGATCACACAGCCTTTAATTGAATCTTGATCTCTTCCCCACCCCTTTCGCCCTCCTGCTCTCCCCACGCTATCATTCCTCCCAGCAGCTCAATCCGACGCCTCMTCCGTTTCTCCTAACAGGTGTTCTGTTTCACAGGGAGCACAGACTGTWAAGGCTTAAGGATGGTCTCGCTTTTGTGATCAAGAGGTCAAAAAGTCATGAGCACACGAGGTGCGGCATGGTTTCGAGTTTGTACCGTGGTTCTGCTCTTCACTGGTGAGTTCTGAAGATGTCCATGTTTGATGGTTTTGACTAACCCACTTTATTTTATTACGATTTGAAATTGCTTTCATTTACATGTTGGACCAATTCACTTACTGTGTTCTGTGCCTCCATGCCCACAAAGCTCAACAAAGTTGTGACAATCAGACTTAAGGGGTCAATAAGCAACAGTTTGACTGTGCTATTTCTGTGTCCGTGGTTCCGTGCGAACCTCTCAGGGTCGACTGGGTTAGTCTGTTACACTGCTGTGAAATCACTGGACTTAGGTTGCCTCCTGCGGTGGGATTGTCCCCATGCCAGTCCTAATATCACCTACACTGTACAAACAAAGACACAGGGGTAAGTCTTAACGCCTGCACCACAGAGAGTCTTGCTTTTCAAGTGTTCAACCAGTACTTTATTTCTTTTTCTTTCTAAACATTTATGAAAATATGCTACACATGACCAAAAATAATAATAATAATAATAATAATAATAATAAAGAACAGTGATTTCAATCAAACGACAGCTTGAAGAACACTTTCACAATAAAGGGAAATAGATTACTATCCATATTGATGGTATATAAATGGAAGATAAACAGCTAAAAATGAATTTTACGCATGATTTACTACAGGAATTCTGTAATGAACCCAATTTTCTGTCTTGAAATTTAAATATTTGACTATGATCAAGTCTAAAACAATGTAATGTATTTTAAAAAATCGTTTTAAGCCTTCAATAACTGAATAAATATATGAAAAATCTAAATTTTGAAGGCTTTTTTCCCTTCTTATCTGCATAATGAAAACAATTTAAAAGAACTTACTAAATGACCCATATTTTAATTAACAAATACTATACATCAAAAGGATAACATTATTTTTATAATACTGAATATAAACTTGAAGTATGATGCCATGTGTTAAGTTTGAGTAGAACAGTAAAATGAATAAATAAAGCAGAACAGAGAAGTCATTGTTGTCATGTGCTGATGCTGTTGTGTTTCAGGGACCCCTGGCAGGACGTCCCGTGGTGCGTTTGGATCTCGTCCAACACCTGTGATGTCTCGCAGGTCTTTTATAACTTTGAGCTGTACAACATGATTCGTCTCGGGGTCCACCTCGGCCCCGGCTCCACCGTCTGGATCAAGCCGCACAAGTTTGACTACAGTGACTTCAGTCAGTGACTGTCTGCAGTTTGTATAAACCTGTCATAGAAAGGGATGAATCTGCAGGTTTTCCATTTCCATTTGTGGGCCATGTTTCTGCTAATCAGATAATAGCTAATAGAACCAAATTTTCATTCATTTCTAGTTGGGAGTGTGGCACATGGTTTGAGTCTGCTGCTTTGGGTGATGTCAYCTGTTTTGAGAACAAACTTGAACAGATTTGTCTCTGCTGTTTCCCTCCCCTCACCTGTCCAGCCTTCAGCCCTCCATCTATCTCWGTGTCTCTGAACGATGACGACAGCCTTTCAGTGAAGGTACAGTTTCCCTGCGCTGCCAACAGGAGGTGCTCCCGTGAAGTGTGCTGCCCCATCTCTCAGATGATTGACCCCTGGACCACAGTGACTATCTCCAACCAGCTCAATCGCTCTGATCACCAGGTCTAACGATAAATACAACTATTTTCTTAACCTAGTCTACCCAGCGGAGGGCTTTTAAGGCTGGGAAATGTTTTTAAAAAAATACCATTTATCTATACGTTTGTGTGGTTAAAGAGCCGCACGGTTTGGACCCAGGAAGTGGCGTCCATTGTGGAGTTCTCGGGTTTGTCTCCAGGTCAGAACTATTGTGTTGTGGCCAACTTCTCCTTCCCAACCTTCTCCATGGCGGCTTCCCCACAATCTGCTTCCAAATGTGTTGAAACTGTGACCAAACCCGGTAAGAAGAACACAAAAACTAAAAATAATTTCATTTACCTAAAACTCATAAGACAATACAGTTTTTCTTGTGTTTTTTAACAACTACCTAAAACACACTTCACTACTCATACATCAAGAAAGTTATCCATTCTAGTCCAGAGAGGGAAGCTAAAATACCCCGCTTCCTCAGACATATTTAGCTTGTCCTGTGATTTTTGAATCCCGAAGGAGTACATAATCCTTCCAGTGATAGGTCTTCCCTGTGGTCCCGTCCCAGTGGGAGGGTGGCCACCTGGAAGGATCCTAATCAGATTTTTGATGTGCTTCTACTCCAAGCTACCCCCCAACAGATGGCAGAGTTTCTCAGCCTCCGTCTAACCCTGAGCTGAGCTACTGAAGAAAATCATTTTGGCCATTTGTTGCCAGGATCTCATTTGTTTGGTCATGATCCTAATCTCATGAACATACACTCACCGGCCACTTTATTAGGTACACCTGTCCAACTGCTCGTTAACACTTAATTTCTAATCAGCCAATCACATGGCGGCAACTCAGTGCATTTAGGCATGTAGACATGGTCAAGACAATCTCCTGCAGTTCAAACCGAGCATCAGTATGGGGAAGAAAGGTGATTTGAGTGCCTTTGAACGTGGCATGGTTGTTGGTGCCAGAAGGGCTGGTCTGAGTATTTCAGAAACTGCTGATCTACTGGGATTTTCACGCACAACCATCTCTAGGGTTTACAGAGAATGGTCCGAAAAAGAAAAAACATCCAGTGAGCGGCAGTCCTGTGGGCGGAAATGCCTTGTTGATGCCAGAGGTCAGAGGAGAATGGGCAGACTGGTTCGAGCTGATAGAAAGGCAACAGTGACTCAAATAACCACCCGTTACAACCAAGGTAGGCAGAAGAGCATCTCTGAACGCACAGTACGTCGAACTTTGAGGCAGATGGGCTTCAGCAGCAGAAGACCACACCGGGTGCCACTCCTTTCAGCTAAGAACAGGAAACTGAGGCTACAATTTGCACAAGCTCATCGAAATTGGACAAGAGAAGATTGGAAAAACGTTGCCTGGTCTGATGAGCCTCGATTTCTGCTGCGACATTCGGATGGTAGGGTCAGAATTTGGCGTCAACAACATGAAAGCATGGATCCATCCTGCCTTGTATCAACGGTTCAGGCTGGTGGTGGTGGTGTCATGGTGTGGGGAATCTTTTCTTGGCACTCTTTGGTCCCCTTGGTACCAATTGAGCATCGTTGCAACGCCACAGCCTACCTGAGTATTGTTGCTGACCATGTCCATCCCTTTATGACCACAATGTACCCAACATCTGATGGCTACTTTCAGCAGGATAATGCGCCATGTCATAAAGCTGGAATCATCTCAGACTGGTTTCTTGAACATGACAATGAGTTCACTGTACTCAAATGGCCTCCACAGTCACCAGATCTCAATCCAATAGAGCATCTTTGGGATGTGGTGGAACGGGAGATTCGCATCATGGATGTGCAGCCGACAAATCTGCRGCAACTGTGTGATGCCATCATGTCAATATGGACCAAAATCTCTGAGGAATGCTTCCAGCACCTTGTTGAATCTATGCCAGTTCTGAAGGCAAAAGGGGGTCCAACCCGTTACTAGCGTGGTGTACCTAATAAAGTGGCCGGTGAGTGTACATGTGTGGGGTTTGGAACCTGAAGGGACTAGGTCATGGCCCTGACTGCACCGTGAGATCTTGTGCACGAACTAGAGATGTGACGTTCGCGAGCGACCAGAATATTTTGAATGGCTCCTTACAACAAACGATGAGAACAAAAGTGCGGATAGTAAAGAGCCGTTCGTAATTTTATTTAATTTTACACCTTGTAATATCTTTATTTTTCCTCCTCGTTTTTACGGAAGCGGAGTACAGCAGCACAGGGGAAAGGGGGCTTAACAAAATACATGGTATCACCCTGATCACGTACAGCGTACATGATATATCCCAACACGATGATGCAACTTGTTCAAAAATTGAAMAGCTCTATGAAACAAACGACTTGTCAAGATCCGGATCACTTCAAAGAGCCTTTCCTTGCATCTCTACCATGAATACCACAAAGGAAACCAGAGATAAGAGGCAGTATGGCTGGAGTCTAAACTGGAGTCCACATTGGGAACAAGCTCAATTCTGCAAAGAATGTACAAAGTTATCAATCAGGTTGTTTTTGACAAGACAAACAAGATTTATGTTTGCTGTTTAAAATAATCTGTATTAAATCTTAAACTTTAAACAATCAAATCTCTCTTTGCCTCTGAACCTTCACCCTTGTTTATTTCTCATATGTTCTACTGTATGTTCTGCAGGAATGCTGCCGATGCTGTGTCTTGGAATCGGTCTGTCTTTTCTTTTCCTTTTCCTGCTTGTCATCATGTTCCTGCGACAGCCGAGGCGAGCCGGACCAGCCCCAGAAAATCAACCCAAGCCTCCGGTACGGTTTGAACCGTGGTTCATTCTAAAATCAGTTCTTCACCCAGCAGCCTAAGTATTCTCGCCTTTCTCTCCTACAGGCATCTGTTCACGATCTGGTTCCTTCAGTTCCTCCCACCACAGTCCCAGTAGATCCTTGTGACATCCACTTGGAATTTGCCGATGACCCCATCTCCTCCAGCTCCTCCTACAGCTTCCATTCCCACCAGGACCTGAGGTCCGGCGTTGGAGCCGCGATATCTAGTAAACCTGTTCACCTCAACTCCAGCTGTGCAGATGAAGCATATCATGACAACGGTGGACTAAAGCCAAAGAAGAGTCCGTGACTCTGGCTTTCAGCATCACACTCGTTTCCCACACTCCCCAGAAATGTGAAGGACACAAATTTAAAGACTGAGAGCTGACGTCTGAAACTGTGGCACTGCGCTCCAAATGAAGAGAAACAGAAGAAAACCTGTTTAAAGTCATTCGATGTTTGGAAAGTGATCCATTTTCTGAACTGGTATCTTATCTCCACAAAGGTTCAGGTTTCTTCTACGCTTGTTTGAAACTTGGTGCCATCTGATGAACCAGCTCATGTTTTTAGGAGCAGAATCATTAAGAAAATAAACGACCACCAATGTAAAGCATGAATGTGACATTGGTATCATTGACTGGTGGTTTGTTTTCTGTATGGAGGCAGGATATCAAATGACAGTGATATTAGAAAACACAAATACTTGAAAAAAAGCACTGTTGTAAGTCAAGATCTCTGTTCATTTCTGTTTATTTAGCACCAATTCACCAGTCATTGTTCTTTACAATAAAACTAACAGGTCTAACTCTTTCCAATACAACTGATTCCACTCAGTCAAATTCAGGTTTAATCCATCCATCCATCCATTTTCTGTACACGCTTCTTCCATTTCAGGGTTGCGTGGGTCACTGGTGCCCATATCTAGCAGTCACAGTGCAAGGGGCGGGGTACACCCTGGACAGGTCGCAAGTCCATCACAGGGCCACACAYAGAGACAAACGAGACAAACAACCATTCACTCTCTCACTCACACCTAGGGACAATTTAGAGTTATCAATTAACCTAACAGTCATGTTTTTGGTCTGTGGGAGGAAGCCGGAGTACCCGGAGAGAACCCACGCATGCACGGAGAGAACATGCAAACTCTACCCAGAAAGGTCCCCGGACCGGGATTTGGACCGGTGACCTTCTTGCTGAGAGCCATCAGCTCTACCAACTGAGCCACCGTGCCGCCCTTTTAGGTTTAATCCAGTTACAATTAAATATTTAGGACATAAGGCCCCATTTACACGACACAGATGTGGTGTGAAACTACAGGTTTCTGCTGCAGTTCAGCCTGACGTGTACAGTGGAGAGAAATGACTCCTTTTTAACAAAAAGAAACATCCAGCAGAACCAGATTCAGGACAGGCGACCGTCTGCCTCAACCAGAGTTGGAATGTCTTGTGCAGGATTGGGCAATCCTGGTCCTCGAGGGCCACTATCCTCCATTTTTATAGGATAGTTTACCAGGATAGCAGCCCCTGTGGAACAGGATTGGACCCGCCCTGATCTAGACTTCTGGTAACCAACAACATGAGCTGTTAAAGTTTATCTGATGCACCTGAAACATCCAGAACAAAGACTCTGGTTCTTCTTAGTGCAAAAATGAACTTAGAGTCGAACAAAATGTACAGGGGGATCTTTTTACTTGATGTTACTTTAAAGGGCTCCCTGATTAGTTGTAACATTAGACTTTATTTGATAAACATTTATTTTGACTGTAAAATAAAAACTGTAAAAATATTGTAGGCTGTTTAGTTTTTATAAATTTTAAAAAATATATTTTAACACAGACGGAGCCATTTTATTTACACACAAAGCATTCTGGGTAAATGATGATGTGGATAGGTCCTCGGTGCGAGGCTGCTAGTGAGCTATATCCACCCTGAAGTTTAATCTTGGACAATATCTGATGATCGACTCTTTTAAATGAAACCAGAGAGCGTTGACAGAGAGGAGAAGGTAGAAATGACTCAACCTGTAACTGAAAATATAGATGGAGGACAACAGAGCTGCTTCATGGAAGAAGAACCTCAGCTTAGCCTGTTAGCCTTTGCGCTAGCGTCGACGCTGTATTACCTTATATGTATTAGCTCGGCGTTAGCACGACAAACAAGCTAAACTGAGGTCCTCCATCCATATTTTCAGTTACAGGCTGAGTCATTTCTACCTTCTCCTCTCTGTCAACGCTCTCTGGTTTCATTTAAAAGAGTCGATCGTCAGATATTGTCTAAGATTAACCTTCAGGTATAGCTTGCTTCGCTGGCAGCCTCGCACCAATGACCTAGTTGACATCATTTACCCAGAATTCTTTGCGTCTAAATAAAACKGTCCCATCCGTGTAATATATATTTTTAACTTTTAGTTAAAAACGATAAAAACTAAACATCCTACAGTATTTTTACAGTCTTTATTTTACAGTTAAAATATATGTTATCTGTGGAAGCCCATTTCCGCTACACTGATAAAAAAATAAAACTTGTATCTCATAATTATGACTTAGCTATCTCATTATTATGAGATACTATCTCATAATTATGACTTAGCTATCTCATTATTATGAGATACTATCGCATAATTATGACTTAGCTATCTCATTATTATGAGATACTATCTCATAATTTTGACTTAGTATCTCATAATTATGAGATAGCTAAGTCAAAATTGGCTGAGAGCGGAATTGTTAAAAAAAAAGGTTGTTTAGAATTTGTGTACGTAAGTAATTTTATCACCGTATGTGTGACTGACTCCAGTAGAACACTATGAATCTAGCATGAATGCTAGGAGTAAAGYTAGCAGTCCATGGTTGCACTTTTTTCTGGTCAAATTCAGCTCGTCCCATTGCTTGAATCCAACTGTTAGCTAGCATCTTAGCTTGGGAAAAGTGACAAAAACATTCCTTCTACCTGAGGATGATGTCTGTATCCTGAGTCACTGTTACTGTAGCACAATGTACTGTGGCTGGGCCTGGTGGACTTTCATGCTGTTTTCCTGATTTTATTTAAGTTTAAACACAGCTAAACTTGTGCAGCAAGAGTTTGTACGTGCACCGGTGTAAGTCACGTGACCAGTGTTCTAAAAATAGCAATAATACCCAGTTGCAGACAAGCAACTACAAAACACGCCCACTTTTGCTACAGTCAAGGCCGGAGTAACCATATGGGCAATTGGGCAATTGCCCAGGGGCCCACGGTCTCTAAAGGGCCCTGGGCAGTGAAGGCACGGACATAACGGATGCGGGATATGCGTGGACAGTGGCTGCAATTTTTCAATGCAAACAATGAGCATGGCCTTAAAAGTTTTAGAAAACAATACAATGAAGCTTAGGGTTGGTTAGGGTTAGTTTCATAAAGTTAGGTACAATAAATTACAGTAGATAAAACCAACAAAAAGGGGTGTATCTTGTAGGGGCTTGGCTTGTACTGGCTGCAGCTACAGCTTGACTCTTCTCAAAAATGGCCTGAGTGGATGTTGCCATTGACAAATTATTCTCCACATTACAAAGAAAAATGGTTTAAGATAGCTTTAATTTATCTTGAAGGTCCAAACTGAAACAGATAGTGTGGTCATACTTTTGCAACAATATGTCATAATTGTAGCAGAAAAGTAGGAAAAGGTGCACTTTTTTTGGACTAATTCATCTTGGTTTAGTGAATTCTTGTTACCCATGCCTCTCTGTCTAATTTTCCCAAATTTGAGGCTCAGATGGAGGTACCTCACACACACAGTTGGCAGATTTCAGCAAGCAGCTAGATGTGAGTCAGAGAGCTGCATGAAGGGGGTCCTGAAACTGAGAGTCCCCACTGAAGCAGAAAGGGTCTTGCATGTACACATTGCCTCTGGTTGTGGTTTCTTCCTCTCTGCCCTGTGAGCAGAGGTTCAATACTCCAAGCCATGGTTTTCATAAACAAGAACGTGGCAAACGGCAGCTCCTTCACGCTGCTCCTCACGGCCAAAACGATATCAAACCACATTTTTTTCTCCCTCCGGTTTATTTATCTGAGATGTTTCTGACTCAGTGTTGCCGTTGCGTCAGACCTTTGCTGCCCGTGACCAGCACACCCGCCCTCCTCTGCTCTGTAAGAAAACAAGGAACATCTTGACATCTCTGTTTTCTGCCTTCTGTTTCGCTGCCGTTGCATTCTTTCCGCAACATTGGGGAGCTTTGTGGGTTTGGCCGTCCGGCATTGTTTGTTCCCTCGTCGTCCACCTTTTCCAGAGTACACACGCAGACCCAAAGGAGCAATCCAAAACCTCACAACCAGGCATGGCTTTTATTAATCAGCACCACTGTGGGGAGGGAAAAGCAAAGAGCTGGCTTACATGATCAGCACCTGATTACACAACCGAGACATCACTGAGCAGAACATAGCTTACTTCTTACTGTTCGAAACAAAATGGGACTTTTGTAACCAGCTTTGATCATCGTTGGGTTATAAGTGCATCCTGTCACTCTGCTGTCAGCAAACTAAAGGTTACATTTTCCAAAAGTTGTCTAATTATTTATCACCTAGTCACCATCTGTAAGTTAATAAAAAGCAGATTTCATCATGTCATTTATTAAGTAAAAATGGAAAAGCTGCAAGTGAAAACTTGCTGCCTCTCTATTTATTATGGTTATTTTTTTTATTTGATGTTAACCAGGTTAGTTGGTCGAGAACAAAATCTCAATTTCAGTGTCGAGCTGGGCAGGAGACAGCAATACAGAATTGATATGACAGCCGCTAACAATCAAACATCAAATCATACAGACCAAAGGTATGGATGAATAAGATACTACTACTACTGAAGAACTTTGACTATGTGGGCTGATTTCAGCARTTTGGATGGAGTATGAGGAAGCCTCAAGAAAACGTATTCACAAATAGAAACTAGATACCACATAGAGGTAACATAATGACCCCCCCATGCACAAATGCACAAGAGATTCCTAATAAACGTCATGCTATTAGGTGCATCCCAAAATTGTAGTGGTTTGGGTGGGGTCTTTTTTTTTTGAGTGGGGTGGGAATTGGTTGACCTGATGGATAGCCCCTCATCAGAGCTAAACAACCAACAAAAATCTGAAGTTCCTAATAGTTTTTGAGCTTTAAGCATTTTTGTATGTCCAAATASCCCTTTTTCTGATAAATTGGGGGTCCGGGGCACTGGTTGGTGGGCCTGATGKATAGAGCTTCATCAGAGCTGAACAACAAAAAAAATCTGAAGCTCCTATGTTGAACAGTTTCTGAGTTATAAGCATTTTTGCATGTCCAGACACCCCATCTTTGGATGGAGCCCCCTCCTCAAATATGGGGTCTATCATAAAACCGTTGGCTGGCGCAGTGTAGGTCGGACTCATCTACAGTCCTGCCAAATTTCATGTTGATTGGTGCAGCCATTTTTGTGCTACGGTTGACCAAAAATCACTGAAAAAAAAAAGAAGTACAAAAACAATTTGACTCGCGGGGGTCATAAATATGTAAAACAGCTGCCAACCTCAACAACAACTTTACTTCATGATCAGTCTACAAAATGCACTGAATAAACAAAACATGAGCGACAGCTTGGATTCTACAGGCCTCAGCAGGCTTATAGCACAGCTACCTTTAGCACTTTACAACACAATCTTTGCCCTCATTTAYTCATCCACACACATCTTAAGAAGCTCACATGAATAAATCATTATATAGAGTATTTAAAACCAATTAATTCACACATACATTATATCAGGTAAAGACTTCACTATATTATTGTGTACAAACATCTCATATTGGCAGATATGGAGAACAGTGAAACCACAGAGAATCAAGCACGGCAACTTCTTGCCCTGCCTGCTTGGAGTTTCAGCCGCTCTGAAGATGAACAAAATAAATCGTTTTATACACAGCTGTGAAGAGCTGTCCCCTGAGAGAGAGCGATAAGGCCAGGGAAGACGCCAGAGAGAAGAGCTTTAATGAAAATATACAGACACTTTCTCCCAATGAACTTTGAAAAAAAAATTTAAAGATGAAAGATTTAAGCATTTTGATAAAATTTTCAGTTATCATGAAGCTGTTTCTCCTTGAAAGGTTGAAAACGAGGAAGCAAGTCCTTGCATAACACCATAAAAAAGCAGAGCTCCGCAGGGTGCATCATAATTTCTCAACAAATTTTCAAACCAAAGCAGAAAACAAACTAGGTAAAACATTTAGATTTCAAAACACTGAGCTGAAATTTTGTGTGATCATACCCAAGAATGATGTAAAAAAACAACATGCTAAATGCTAGTCAGCCATTTTTAGACTTACAAAGCTAAAGATTTGTGCAGAAGTAGACAAAAACAATCTTTACCAAATACTGAATGCTGACCAAAATTTCAAAATGGCCACCACGGCTAACTTAAAAAAGCTATAATCTAGCCATTCTAAGACTTATTGAGATTAAATTTGTTGTGGTGTAGCTAAGAATGATCACATGCTGATTAGCCATGCTCCTAAATTAAGCTAACAACTAATGCTAATTTCACAAAGGGCTATAATCCAACCATTTCTAAACATAAACAGCTAAAAATATATATCTTACAACAGTATCAGAACAAACTTGAACAAAATCTAAATGCAAATACAAAATCCAAGATCCCCACCCACATCTCAATTATTTAGGGGTGGCCAATCAGGTGTCAGAGGTGGCATTTGCCACCACGACCACCCCTCTGGCTCCGCCCCTGCTTAATGAATCCAATAACGCTCTGTTTCTTGTGTTCTTCCTCTGAGGGACGAGGTGGTCTGAATAAAGTGTCTTTTTGGGAACATTGAGCCCAGCCTATACAAGACCCCCGCTTATATGTGTTATTCATCCATCCCCACTCACCGTAACAATTAGCAGAAATTGCGTCACAATTTAAACTCCTCTAGATTAAAAGATATTTTGTTTGGCTTTATGAGAACGTATTATTTTCCTGGTAAATAACCTTTATATAGTTTCCAGTTAAACCCTGAAAAGTGCAGCAGCTTCACTAACAGAGATCCAGCAGGTCAGAACAGTCAGTACTGACCTCTGTTTCTGTGTCTCTGACAGGAAATGCTTAGTCACTCAGTGACTCACAAACCGTGGAGAGGTCTGATTTGTTCCTACCCCCTGCATCAACAATACCAGTGTCCAAAGACGGTCAGCCATAAAAACACTCACAGCAGCACTTCTTTGAGCCGGACCGATGAAAAAATAAACAACCCAGGAGGAAAAAAAAACAAGAAATCTCAAAGCTTTAGTCGTAACAACAGCATTTTATTTTGGCCTCATTCAGTCAGTCATTCAGTAATTAATGTACAGTTTATATACAGGAGCAAACAAAGATTTACATGTCCTTGATTTGCCATCTTGCAGTAAAGGTTGGCAGTGCAATCTTGGCCTTTCTTGTTTTAAAAAAACAAAACAAAAAAACAGTGTCACTGGGTTCTTTCTTCTTCACACAAACACGCAAAAAACACTCCACAGCCGTGCAACCGCTCGTTTGTGACGCATAAAAACGTTGGATCCACTTCAGCCTCGTGTCGCTTGTCTGCTTTGTTCATCTGCGCCAATACTGAAAAAAAAACAGCAACAAACAACTGGGGTTGAACTGTTGACCGTTCAAATGAAAAAAGAACTTGCGACGGTTGCTGATCCTTCATGATGCGTTTCTTCTTCTTACGTCAGTCTCCTCGTGGTGCGTTTAAGGACCCTTACCTGAGCAAATTTGTGTATCTGCTCGACCACAGCAGCGAACAACGCGCCCACGCTCTCATCGATCAGACTCTGCATGTAGTGAACGGCCTCCTCATCAGACAGGTCCAATCTGAACTTATCCTGCACCTGATGGCACACAAACGGCTCGTTACATTAATGTGATATGAACCTGACAGGTAACCTGGGAGTACTCGCATAAAATGGGAATTTTTACTTTTTAGATTATATATTTTGCCAACAGAGTACATTTATGGTTATTGGAAATATAGTAGCACAATTTTCATATTTATGAAAGAATCTTTATAAAACAGCTTGTAAATGTGTTTGCATCAATGGATCTAACCCTGCAGCAAGTACGGTACTTTGGGTGTACCACAAGGATGAATATTGGGACCATTGTTATTTAGCTTGTAGATACATTAAATGGGGTTAAAATGTTAACGAATGCAGTGTAGGTTTGGGCGATACTGAGTCAGAGCGACCCTGGAGGAGAGTTTGTTATAGTAGACATGTGGCCTAGGGTCCACATCGTCAGTTTGTGGTGATGTTTCAAGAAGTTTGTAGTGTTAGGGTTAGCTGCTCTGCACCACCTGCTGCCATTGTTATGTTATGGGCTCATGCTTGATAATGAGAGCGTAATCGCAAAGTGCCAAGTACTGATTGGGGACAATTTTTCTACGACTTAATCGCATACAAAACCAGTTTGCACAAGCCTAATTCAGTGTCATCTGCATACGTTAAAATATAATTCTGCTTTTTTTTTAACGGCCATAAAAACAAGGAACAAGCTTCTTTATTTTCATATTTTATGCTGTGAGGTGAAAAGCAATTTAGTGTTCCATGCTGTTTTGGTTAATAGACATCCGTTAGTCTTCTTTGTGATATTCTGCATTACAATGTAGGGCTGCAACTAATGACTATTTTAATAGTCGATTAGTCATTGATTATTAAAACGATTAGTCGACTAATCAGATTATGAATCATATAATTATGAAATGGCACTTATTTAGCTATCAGCTTTTACATTTAGCATTAAGTTTATTTAAAATGTGGTGGTAAACACACAGAAGACGGGTACTCCATTCAAAAATTTAATCAGGTTTGCTGCTGAAAATTTAACAGCACATTTTTCCAAAAATTAAAAAAAGTACTTTTTCTTTCCCGTAAAACAAAGTTGGCACATTAGCAGCAATAAAAATAGTTCAGAACATTTTGTAACAAGCTGCAAACACTTTTTTCATAACCAAAGTATATCTTTAAAAAACAATTAAATTTTTATTTTGTGTTATTGGTTCTGCAGACACGCAACTTTTTTTCTGCAAATAACAGTGTCTACGAGTTGTCTCCTCATGTGTGTCGTTTAGCTCAGCATTTGTCTCGTCTCTTTAAACGCTCATGAATCACAGAAGTGCTTCCAAGACATGCGAGGTCCGCTTTGCAAATGTTGCAGATCAGTTTTTTTTCCCTTTATCGAGAGTGAAAGTGTCCCAAACCTTGGATCGTTTCATCAGTAGCCGCCATGACTAAACATGCCGGTGAACGCTACTGCGCATGTGTGAAGCTCGACAGAGAGAGACGAACAAGAAGATGTCTCACTCCGTAAAAAAATCACAGTAATAAAAATGACTATTAAATTCGCCATAAACTATTTTTATTGTCGACAATGTCGACTAATCGTTGCAATGAGAGAATACACTGAAAAGAAACAACAAACTGACCTTTTTAACCGTCTTGTCAGGCTCCAGAGCGATGTCGGGAATATTGGCGTCCACCATGAGAGAGAACAGATTCAGGATCAGGTTGGAGTATCTGAGGAAACGGTGAAAATGAAAAAAACTTTATGTGCGACCGAGTGTACTTTCAGGTGGAATTAAGGATTCTATCATAAAAAAACAAACAGCTGACACTAACCTCCTGAGGTGGAGGAAGGCGGTGTAGCACTGCTTCCTGAACTCCTGGTACTGCTCGCTCTGCATGCCCCCCATCCCCTCCACCATCTCTTTACTCAGCTTCATGGGCGGAGGCAGCGGTTTGGGATCTCGGCCGAGAATGTAGCCGAAGTCGATGTGGAAGAGTTTCCCTGTACGCAGGCAGAGAGAGAAAACTTAGAGACAAAAAAAAAAAAACCCTCTTTGAGCAGGAGGTGACCTTTCCAGACGTCCCGCCCCCGCCTCCCCTCACCGGTCTTTGTTAGCAGCAGGTTGTCCAGGTGTCGGTCTCCAACTCCCAGGATGTAGGTGATGACGCAGTAACCAGCTGGAATAACAGAAACACTGATCAGACCTCAGCTCGTTGCTCGATCTGAGGTCAGATCGGCGCAGAGCCTCACCGCAGCTTTTAACGTATGTATCCATCACCTCCGAGCTGATGCCGTACGGCCCCTTCTCACTCGGCGCGTGCTTCCTGAAGAAGCTCTGTCAAAATTCAAAAGTGCGGGTCAGAACAAGTTTCTACTCAAGCCCGACCAGTCCAGCTGCACCGTCTGCTCACCTGAATGTTGCCTTCAGTGGCCAGAACTTCAGCCACAGGGACCGACTGGACAAACTGCATGAAACCTGGAACAAAAATGTGTTTTTGTTTTACTTCACAGGAATCTTACAGGAGCTTTATTTAATAATTGCACGAGGATAAGCATGCAAAACAATTACAAATCCCATTTTTATTTTACAGAAAAGAGATGTAAGAATTATAACCAGAAAACTCTACAGTCACCCATCAAATATATTGTTTTATCAGTTGAAATTATTGAAATTCCATCAGTTAGTTGATTATAGTATTTTGCAGGTTATGTCTAAGGCTCATAAAAACATTACCTCAAAAACATCTATTTAAATTTTGTTAAAAGACACAGCTATTATAATCTTAAAGGGATTGAGATGTTTGTGAAACTTAAATCTTTAACCAGTTTGAAGGAACGATGTACATCATTCCAGGGAATAAGATTATGGAATAATCTGGAAAGTGCTGTTAAAAATGCCAGATCAATGTTTATGTTTAAGAGAAAGATTAAAATTGGTTGAAGAAATATGAAAAAAAAAATGTGTACTCATTCATATTTTTCTTCGAGAAGGATTGCTATTGTTGATGTTTTTGTTTTGTTTTGTTACTTAAAGACTATTAGTAT